ACCCTTAGTTATTGCATTGTAGATATAATCAAAACTTTACAAGATCAAAGGATCACATATGCTAAACAGTATCAAGAATTGGCATGGTAGTAAAAACTTGTTTCACGACAGAGACATACCGGGGGACTGACTATGGGAAGCTTTCCAGTTATTCGAGCACCGATAACAGATAGCCTTCCATATACCTCAACAATAGATAGTGGTATGGTGAACCAAGGTTTTGCCGTCTTAGTGATGCTAGCAGCTAAATCAAATACATCTCTGAATGACATATTTTCTCCGGTAAGAAGATACCTTTCTCCTGGTCGACCTTTGTCCACTGCAGCAATGTGCCCCTGAACTACATCATCAACTTGACAGAAAGAGAACTTGTCATTTCCTTTTCCCACATATCCAGGTAGCCGTCCATTAAAGCGTTCTACAAGCTTATAGAAAGAAGATACACATGGTCACTTCATATACTCTATGGTGAAATATGAAGTAGATGCATACAGGGTCGATCATCAACTCCCATTTCATTTATCCACATTAAAGTTTACTCAACATTCACATCAACACATAAGCAGAAAGAACTAGATGAAGATGAAAAATGAGAGACAAGATGGATTTAATCAAAGAGATTGCAGTTATTTAAATGAGATCAAAGCTCAAACTCTATAACTATAGAATCACTGTGTATAATTAAATTATGAAGCCAATGATATACAGAAACACAAAATCAATAACAATATGAAACAGTGTAAATTTTCAAATTCAAATCGTGAATTGTTTATAAATTCGTTCTTGATGTTAAGGGTAAAATCTCAAGTCGGTATTTTATGAAAACATTAACTAAAATATATCCTTTAAGATGGAAGCCCGAAATTTTATAGTTAAATCACGCTTCCACTAAACCTACTCCATCCACAAACAGTAATTGAACTTTGCAATTTCATTGTGATCAACCATATGTTCATTAGTTAGAGCTACTCAATCCAGATCAATTAAAAATTCAAGAAATTTTACCATCTGCGAAACAAAGTTTCCATTTGTCACTTTGCCAGGACCATATATAACTCCTGGGTAAATCAGCACTATCGGCAAACCCTCGGATGCAGCTTCCATACCAATTTTATCAGCCATTGCCTTCGATCTTTCGTACTCTGTGCAGAAATGTTTACCGGGATGCACCTATACAACAGTAGACACACCAAAAATCTCAGCAAACCCACAAAAGATAATGGTAAAAGGGGGGAACAAAAATCAAGTAATTAATACAAATTGAATTTTACAAAAACTATGGTCGTACTTGAGTTTCATCTGCAATATATCCGTCAGTAGATCCCAATGCGAAAAACGACGACGTATAAATAATTTTCTGAATTGATGTGGTCTCCTTACAGGCCTGTATAACATTCTTCAATCCTCCAACATTAACCTGTAATTATCAACTACAAACCAATAAAAAAAACTCAACTTTGAATCAATCTGATCAATTAAAATCAGGGCTTAATTGTGCAATTGTAAAGATGGATTACTGTAAAGAATTTGGAGGGGTCAGGAAGCCAGGGCTCAAC